GATGATGGAAGTGATGGTGGTGGTGGTCGTGGTGATGGAGGTGATGATGGTTGTGGTGGTGGTGGAGGTGATGGAGGTGATGGTGATGGTGGTGGTGGTGGTGATGGAGGTGATGGTGGTGTTGGAGGTGATGGTGATAGAGGTGATTGAAGTGATGGTGGTGATGGTGGTGATGGTGGTGATGGTGGTGTTAGAGGTGATGGTGATGGTGGTGTTGGAGGTGATGGTGGTGTTGGAGGTGATGGTGGAGGTGATGGAGGTGATGGTCATGGAGGTTTTAGAAGTGGAAGTGATGATAAGAACAGTAATGTAGGAAGTGGTGGTAGCTGTTGGCAGGGATGATGACCAGTGGTCTTGGCAGTGGCCACTGTGATGAGGATGAAGAGAAGGAGAAGGAGAAGGAAGCAGATACCCTGTCCAGCTGGAAGTCTCGGGAAGCAAGAGGGGAGGGAGGCTGTGCTTACCCCAGCCAACTGCGCAGAGCTTGAACACATATCTACGAATGTAGATATTGTAGACACGCACAAGGAGAAGGTAGAGGTTGAAGCCTTCGATGGCCATCCAGGTGAGGCAGCTGAGCAGTGCATAGTGCAGGACGGCGGCCAGCACCATGCATGCTGACCCGGGCACGGAGGGCATGGCCAGTGCAGAGCTCAACAGGAAGGTGACATTCAGGAGCAGCACAGAGGCATGCAAGTTCATGTGGATGTGTGTTATGGAGTCATTTTTCTTCCTGTGGGCGAGAGCATGGCCCTCTGTGGCCCGGGGTCATCACCCAGGCAGCAGAACCCCCTGGGCTCATAGACACCCAATGACAGGGACACAGGTCCAGAGGGGGCAGGGACCCGGCAGCAGCCACTCAGTGAGGCTGGTCTCCTGCCTCTTGGACTCCACCTTCTGGAGAACCCACCCCACTCTTGGGGACCAAGTAAGGAAGCGGGGTGCTGAGCAGCAGTGGCTGGGCAGGCCCGGCACCGGTGCAGGAGACTACCTGGCGTGACAGTGCAGCAGGATGGTGAGCAGGGAGGCCATGACGGAGATGCTGCAGCCCACCAGGGAGATGTAGGTGAGAGGCGCCAGCAGCCCTGCAGGGACAGGGACTGGGGACAGTTGCTGTGGGAGGAAAGCGTGGCTGGAGGCTGGATGCATGGAAATGGGCCCCACCCAGGCTCAATCAGAGACATGCCAGACCTCAGCTCCATGCCCCCTTGCCCCACAATCCACACCACGGTCCTGGCTTGAAAAAAGCCATGGCAGACACGGCGGCTTTCCCCCGCTCTCCACTCGTCCTCCTCTCCTTGTGAGAACCTCCCTCCTTCTCCCCCTAGGTGGACATACCACTTCTCCCTCTGTGTGGACAGGTGCACCAGGTCTGGCCCGTCGGAACCCTCCCTCCTCCTGCCCAGTGATTGGTCAAGGGATGTGTATGTAGCACACCGGGTTGATAAGACTCGGTTGCAAGACTTTGGCTGGCAGAATGGGGTAAGACACGCTCTCATTCTACTGGCCTAAAAGCTAGTAGGACATGAGCCTGAAAGTGCTGGCAGCCATATTATGATTCCATGGGGAGATCCAGTCGGAGGGCTAAGCCCCCACGGAGCCAGCACAACTGAGAAACAGAGATAAAGGCCTGTCTCGGTGATACTGAGCCCCTGGATTAAGCCAGGCCTGAAGCCTATTCAGGAACACAAGCCCATAAGTTTCCTTCCCCCGCACCAAGCCCATCTGAGTAGGATTTCTTGTCCCTTGCACCAGCCTTTCCCTTCCTCCTCTGTCCTAAGCATGGGACCTTCTGCAGCTCTGACCCCCACATACCATAAGAACGGCAAAGTAGCTAAGGTGGTTGCAGCGGCAGAGCACCTGGGTAGGCGAGGGCTGCTCTGTGCGACAGCCCTCAGGGCTCCAGACCCCCCAGTGTTGCTTGCTGGCTCCCTCCTTCCAGAAGACACAGTTCACCGTGTAGCCTTCCTAAGGGGAGATGCTGGAGTGGAGTTGGGTGCATCCAAGGGGTGCCGGGGAGGGCCACAGGTCAGGGTCTAGAAACTGGAGGCCTAAGATGACTCAACTGCATCCTGTCAACATTTTACCAGGTGCTGGCTGGGCTTTGCCATCAGGCGGACCCAGATCCTAGCCCCACTTTCCCATGGACTCAGAGTGACCCGGGCAAGTTGCAGAGCTCTGAGCCTCACTCGGCTGATTCATTTGCAAAATGGGATCATTTATACTAAGTCATAAGGGTGGTAGAAAAATTCAAGGCAAGGAGGATCCTTGAGTGCCCAACTCTAGCCTATGCAGTAGGTGCTCTATAACTAAATGTCCCCTTCCTTCTGCTACCCGTGGGGCCTGATAATGGTCCAGACCCTTCCCAGGGCGGGAGAGAGAGATTCATCCACAGACAACCCCGAAGGTAAGCCACGTGGGTGGACGGGTGGTGGCTGTGACACAGGCAGTGACACGGAAAACCATGGAAGAAGGGGTAGAGGGGTCCTGAGGAGGGAAGGGACCTTTGGGGCCCTGAGGCCTTAGAGGACACCTTGGATTTGCAACGGGAGTGGAGCAAGGACATCCCAGGTGACGGGGAACTGCAGAGGCAAAGGCCCAGAGGAACGAAAGGGAAGGGTGATGACGAAATCGCAAGTGTACAGGAGGGGCCGACGGGAAGACAGGGCCAGAGCGCGAAGGCGCCGGGCTCTTCGGGAACGCCAGGGACCGACGAGCACGGGCGTCAGGGCCTGCGCCCGCCCCGCAGCCCGTTTCTCTCCTGCTAGCAGCAACATCTACACTTCCCTTGAGGACCCACCGCACCTCCGATGAATCCGGCCTGGTCCCTGGGCCGTGGGACCCAAGCCTGGACAACCCACACATTCCACACCCCTGGGCACAGGGAGGATTTGGGGGTGGACACGTGACCCTGCTGGACCGTTAGGATTCCATTCTGGTTGCCTTGTGAGAAAGAGCCTGCTGAGAAGAGGGGAAAGAAGTCCAGCTCTTCAGCTGCCATCTTGCCACAGGGTAGAGAGCCAAGGCGGACCATCGCTGAAAGATGGAAAGAGACCCTCCCAGCCTCACCCCAGCATTTCCTTCCTCAGAGCCTCCACAGAGCCGTTATGGCATCGTACTGGCCCCTGGATCCAGCCGTGCCTGAAGCCCCGGACATTTTATTTACATGAGCCAATAAATTCCCTTTTGTGCTCACATTGGCTAGAGTTGGTTTTCTATCACTTGCAACTTAAAGAAGCCTGGATAATACAGTGAGTAAAAGCTTCTCTTCTTTCTCTGGCAGGAATTTCCAAAGTGATGAATTTAAAACGGTTTGTTTCCAAGATGGTTCTCCAGGTTTGAGTTTAGTCAAACCAATGTTCAACAGGACATAAGGGGGCAGTGGCGGGGTGGAAATGGGGCACCCTCCCAGTACCAGGCTTTGGTTGTGCCAGAAACTGATGTTGATCGGCTCGCTGAGGTTGTTCACGTGTTCATGGCCCAGCTGTGCCCCCAGGACATAGTCATTGAGCAGAGACGCGTTGATGTCATTCTGGAAGGGCAACCGAAGAAGGGCTGACTGGAGGGGACGTGAGGAGACCCTGGAGGAGGTCCCAGAGCCCCGCCTTCTCCAGCGCCTGCTCCCTGGATGACAAGTGGCACATGCTGTCCCCTCCGCCTGGGAAACTGTCCTCTTGCCACCCCGCAGCTCCATTTCCCATCTGATGTATTCCAGCTTTGTACCCTCCGCTTCACCACTATCCCAACTCACTTTCAAAGCCAAGGTTAAAAGGCACCTTCTCCAGAGGCCCTCCTGGCCTGCTCATTGGGAGTAACCCTGACCCCACCCTGACTCATTCGTCACTTTGCATCTCTATGGTTATAATCAAGCTTGAGCTAAAACTAAGTCTTTCAGGTTCTAGTCTTATTGCCAAGATAGCGAGTTCTCTGAGGAGAGGAATCTTGCGACCTTGTCTGACTTCCGCCTAGGGACATGCACAGACCCGGTAGGGTTCTTAGGTCTCATTTGCACATTGTAATTGTGCCTCCCACCGCTCTGCTTCAACAGAAGCCCAGGGGGGACAATGGCTGGCTAAGGTTGCACAGTGGGCTGGACCCACAGGTGCTGGTCCCCACCCAGAGTCCAGGAGGTGGCGTGGATGCCTGCAGTGCCCCCAGGAAGTGGCCAGCTCCTGCCCTCCAGGGCCCACCGTGGTGCTGACCTGGAAAAAGTGGGCAGTGAAGAAGTAGATGCAGATAAGACGCAGCTCCCGGGGGCGGGTCCTACAGGCCTCCCGGGTCAGCTCAGCTGGAAACTGCATGGCATGCTGGGCCTGTGCCTGCGGAGGGCAAGAGACAGGCTGAGCCTGGTGTCCAAGCCCTCCAGACCAGCCCCGACACCTTCCTTGGCCCCCACGCCCTATGAAGCTCTCCCAGCCTCACCCCAGCATTTCCTTCCTCAGAGCCTCCACCTGAAGAACCCGCCTCCTTGGCTGCACCACCGTCCAAACTTCCTGAGATCCGGACCTTCCCTCCAGCTGCTCCGGCTTTGAATTTGGGTGTTTACCCCACTCAACTGGGCCCCGGAGGATGGAGCATCTCAGCCCCCAGCACACAGGCATTCAGCAGAAATCACCCCAAGGTCCTCAAAGGAACACAGATTGCCTGGCCTCTCCCACTGCCGCCCCCCACCCCCACGGGCCTGCAAAGGCAGGAAGGGGACGCTGGAAGGGAACGCTGACCTAGAGGGACCACAGAGCACTCCCATTTCTATCATTCACCCCAAAGAACATCAGCCCCATTTTGTGAGTCTCGGCTATCATGGCAAAGCCCAGGTGAAAGGGTGAAGGGGGCAGTGGAGCCAGACCTTCACCCCTGGAGAATCTCTGAGGTGGAGAACTAGCCACCCCCCATTCCCTAGTCATTTCTGACCTGGGAGACCGGCTCCAGAGTGGCACTGTTCAGTGAGAGGCCAGCAAAGTCACAGCCCAACTTGAAGGCCAGCGTCTGAATGATGGACGTCTGCAAGGTGAGGTTGTGACCCTCGAATCTGGCCTCCAGCAGCCTCCTCTCCAGACCACGGATGAGCCTGAGGGCAAGAGAGATGACCGGAGCCCCGAGTAGGGGTGGAGCAAGAGGGGCTCCAGATGGCCTGGGAAGGCAGGGCCTCCCCCATCGCTTACCCCTGTCACTATTACCCCTGGACCTTTGCACACACAGCATTCTAGGCACATTCTTACCTCCCGACCCCTCTCATCCCCTTCTCCTGACTAACTCTTGTTCAAGTCCTAGTTTGTTGACACCTCCTTCAGGAAGCCTTCCTGGGCTGCTCCCTGCTGACTGAGTGAAATGCCCCGTAGTCCCCATGCTTCTCTGGCTAATCATAATCATTCGCCTCTCATCCGGAGCTGCTCGGCCTTTGGGTCACAGACCCTGGAAAGCCCAATCTGAGTTTTGGAGCCCTTCCAAGAAAAACGCACAGAGACCTGTGCTTCTGCACCTGGTTTCATGTTATCCATGGTTAAATCAGACAGTAGCCTTGATGAGAGCAGAGAGACATGTCTATCCTGCATCTCCAGAGCCTAATGTCAGGCACCCAGTAGGTACTCAATAAACATGCGTTGAATAAATGCATTAATAGTCTACACTAGACCAACCCTGAACCACTGATGTCAAGGTGCAAGCTCGGGGTGGGAGGCACCACTGATTCGACTCAGGCAAGGACGGACCCACAACTCACTCGACAAAAGAAATCGGTTCTTGTTCTATGGTCGCCGTCTCCATTCTTTTCATCCATCTCAGGGATTCTTGGAATGCCTCTGTGGGAAGTGAGTCAGATAGATCCCCACCTCAGCTTCTGTCCACAGCTGCCCCCCAGCCCCATGCCCTCTGGGGCTTCCACGTCTGAGACTGCTAGTTCACCTCGCCACTGTCCCAGGCAGCCTACGTGCCCCCTTTCAATCTCCCTATCACAGCCAGGGGCCTGGGCTAGGATCGTCCCTGCAGCCCCGCAGAGCCCTCTTACCTGCTGCTCCACTCTGAGAAGTCACGAGAACCAGGCAGAGGAAAAGCACCACGCGGCGATCCATGTCCTATGTCAGGTCCCCTCCAAGAACCATCTCCCACGCTGGAAAAAATGCGTGTGATCAAAGAGTGACCGCTAACTTCTTGGTGTCTGGTTGTCTCACACAGGGACACACAGCACATTATCTGATCCTTGTCGCTCCTGCATTTCACGGACGAGGAAACTGGCGGTCAGAGAGCACGAGACCTTGCTTTGCCTGAGGCTGTCTGAAGCCAGGTCTCTGTGACTCTCGAATCCTCGGACCATTTAATAATACCTGCCATTAGCAACTCTGCCTGAGTCACTCCGGCCTCCTCAAAAGTAGTCCCTCTGGGGGGCTTCCCCAGGACCCCAACCGCACCCAGGGGGAAGTTGCTTGGGAACAAGCAACATGTAACCCTGCCCATCCCTTTCGTTAACCTGCCACGTGACGTTGGGCAAGGACCCGGCCCTCTCTGCCCACATTTTCCTCAGTTTTAAAATGAATTAATAAACTTCTACTTAAAGACAGCAAATTTATGTCACTCCTTGAAACTCCACTAAAATGAGAGTCAGTGAATAAAACAGACACCAAGCAACAAAGACAGAACAATGGCAAAGAAGACAAGAGCAGCCGAGCGATGTCAGCTAAACTTTGGAGGTTACAGAACAGGCGGCCACCTTGTGATACATTTAGCAGATCTGAAAAGTCGAACCCCAGTGCCTGCAGTGGAGAGAGAGGTGGAGGGGAGGGGGGAAGCCAGCTAGTTCATGCCTCACGACCTTGGAAGCGCTTGAGAACTGGAGGCACCAGGAACCTCTGACGGTCAGATGGAGGGTGAGGCTGAAAACGGGATTGTTGGTTGTGAGTCTTTAAAATGACTACCTTGGTCCCCAGATCTCCCCTGGTACCTGAGGCATCCAGGAGCCTCCCTCATCACCCTGCCATCTCAACTCCGCCCCCCACAAAATTCACTCCTTGGAGATGGTGCACATAGAGAATCTTAGGGCCGGGGAAGGGTGCCATTCTAGTATAGAAAAGTAAAGCCATACCCCTTCCCACCACCTCTTCCTCTCAGCTCCCGGAAGTCTGCAGCAACTAGAGTGATGATGCCCCAGGCAAAAGGAAATTCTTCTCTGAAGAACTGACCATTCCAAGAACAGTATGCTATAGTTACTGATGTTTTGGTGTTCCTCGATGAAATGGCCAGGACCAAACTTTCACCCATCGCCAAGCCCTGCTAACCGATTAAGTTTTTAGTGCTTCACCCTTAAAGATGAATGGTCAACCAAGAATCACTAGGTATTTTAAAACATATACCCCCTGTCTCAGAAAGCTGCTAGAAGATGTGATCCAACAAAATGAGGGAATAAATCATGGAAGACGACGTAGGGGACAGGAAACCCCACCAGAGGAGCAGTGAAGCTACTCTTCAGAGAATGTGTGAAGAGAGGGCCCAGGCTGACGGGTGGGCGGCAGGACTAGGGCACATCTGCGCAGAAGGCAGCACGAGAAAAGAAAGCTCCAGGAGAGAGGTCTCAACAAATAAAAGGAGGAGGAAGAGAAGATATCGACTATCTGACAGGTTGAAATATCTAAAAAAAAGTATTTTGAGAAATGCCCTATAAAAAGCTTGAGAATGAAAAACAAAAACTAACAATTAATTTCAGAATAACCAAGTTGTACAAGAAAGAAAATGTAATCTTGCTACACATATTGACTTAATAGGGAATAAAATTTATACAGTCATAATGAAAACATTGAATGGGAGATTTATTTTTTTAATTGTGTAAAAACCATATTAAAATGATTTAGACCTCTGTTTACGATGTAGAGAGCCACAAGAGAACATCGCTCCCATCATGACAATGGAAAAAGCCAAATAACATACAAAATTAATTTTTGAGCCCTTTAGAGAGCAGAAGTCACAAAGCAAACTGATTTCCAACGGCCCATAAGCCCTTCAAAGATGAACCGGTTCACCTTTTACAGAACACCCGAGAAAGAGGTACTTGCCACGAAAGCAGAAGAAAAGAAAAGAACTGGTATCTTAATGAATTCTTAAAGGTTGCATGTAAACTAGCATGACAATTTAGAACCCCTGGGAGCCCCAGATACAAAGGGAGTCTGTGTCTTCCCACAGTTTTCTATTGGGTGCACATGAGAATGACTAGGGTGGGGCAGAGACCTTAGAGAGCCCCCATAGGACCTGCCGAGGTTTGAAGGTAGAGCAGGGGTACCTGGAAAAGCCATCTGAGGTCTGGGCCATGCATGAATACAAGGTGGTGATTGGCTGTTACTAGAGATAGACATCTCTACCCTGGCCATCCTCTGATGTGAGACCCTTATCCCACGGGTCCCTGATCTGCTATCAGGCAAAGGTCTGCTGCTTCTGATGGAGAAACTCATTGTGTACAGATGATGCAAAACCCACCTACCACCAACCCTGCACTAACACCAGGCAAATGCCATCTGCCACTGGCAAGGAACAGAAAACCCACTAGTGCCCAGGATTTTGCCTTAATAGAAAGCAGAGAGCTGCTGCTGCTGCTGCCACTGAGGCTACTGCAGAAAAGGCAGAAACCTCACTCACATCCAAGACTCCTCCACCAGTACAAAACAGAGTTTAGCTCCCGTGGGAGTGGAGAACAGGAAGTCTGCCTGTGCTCTAGCACCTGCTCTGAATAAAAGGCAAAGATTGTCAGTCACTGGAGGAGAATCAGAAAAGCTAAGAAAGCCCCACTCCCGGGGCTCAGGTACAAGGCTGCCTAAAACTGAGGTTAGAGAAGAAGAATCAAGAATCCACAAACCTTGCACCAAGTAACGAGTAACAGCAGTCTACCGCTGGCAGAGGGGATGGGACACAAAGCGAGATTCTCTCTGTGCTGCACGCATGCAAAGCTGAGAAAATACCGAGAAAACCCCCATGAGACTTGAGGTCTCACGCTAAGCACAAAATAGTGGCAGTCCACCACTGGAGAAATTTGAAGCTTGTGGTGCATAGAAGGTAACTATGGCAACAGCAAAACCTAAACCCAAATAATCAAAGACTAGATTGACTCGATAGCCTATGCTAAAACCATAACGTAAGAAATATGACCATTTCTAGGTATAAATATAATTTACCTCACTTACTATAGTTCTTTTACACACAATGTCTACTACTCAATCAAAGATTATCAACACATAAAATCAAGAAAAAGAAAAGACCCATTGTAAAGAGATAAAAGAGTCAACAGAACCAGACCCAGAGATGGTGAAAATGTTGAAAATATCAAATAGAGACTTTAAGATAACTATGATGAATATGATAAAAGATGTAGTGAAAAAGGTGGACCTCCCAGAACAGACAGGATATTTCAGGAGAGCAACAGAAACAATTAAGAAGAGTCAAGTAGAAATGAAAAACTCAATACCAGTGATAAAGAATTTCTTCAATGGACTTACCAGCAACCCAGTCAGAACAAAGTAATCAGCGAACTTGAAGACAGAGAGAGATAAATTACCCAAATTGAAACACAAAGAGTAAGAAGAATGAAAATAAAAAACAAATACCCAAGAACTGTGGGACAAGAGCAAATGGTCTAATATGCAAGTAATTGGAGTCTCAGATGGAGAAGAAAGAACGGAGAAGAAGAAATATTTGAAAAGATGACTGAAAATTTTCCAAAATTAAAGACAACAAACCACAGATCCAAGAAACTCAGCAAAACTCAGTGAAATAAATACAAAGAAAAACACATCAAGTCAAACTGCTGCAAAACCAAAGATTCAGAGAAAATCTTGAAGGCAGTTAGAGAAAAAAGGAACACTGTATACAGAAGATAAAAGATAAACTACAACAGACTTCTTATCAGAAACCATACAAGCCAGAAGATGGCACAGCCAGATCTCTCAAGAAAGACCTGTCAATCTAGAATTTTTTAAAATATCTTTTTAAAATAAAAGACAAAATAAAGACTTTTTCAGATATGAATAATGTCTTAGAGAATCCACAGCCAGCAGACACACACTAAAAGAAATAGTTAAGGCAGTTCTTAGAGCAGAAGGAAAATTACATCAGATGGAAATCTGGAACTACACAAAGAAATGAAAACTGTTGGAACTGCTAAAAATGTGTCAAATATAAAATAAATTTCTTTGGTTTTCATATCTGTCTAATATCAAAATAATAACAGGGATCATAATATATGTAGCAGTAAAAAGATACCACAAAAATAGCACAAGGGGCAGGAGAGAAAGATGGTAGATTTAAATTCAATTATATATATATAGTTACATGAAATATAAATGATCTAAATGCTTCAATTAAAAGGCAGAGATTGTCAGGCTGGATTATAAAAGCAAGACCCAACTATATACTGTCTACAAGAAACACATGTTAAACATAAAGACACCAATAAACTAAATATCAATCATAAGTAAAATGGAATAGCTGTATTAATAGAAAAAGTAAACTCTAAGATAAGGAATATTATTGCCGGGATAAAGATTATATAAGGCTAACAGGATCAATTCACCAAAAAACACAACAAAACAAAACAGTCTTAAATGTATATGTATCTAATAACAGAGCTTCAAAAAATAAAGCAGAGATTGTTAGAACTGAAAAGAGAAACAGGCAAATCAACAATTATAGTTGCAGAAGGTAATATTATCCTCTTAGTAAATGATAGAACAAATAGACAAAAATTGGACATAGAAGACATAAACAACACTATCAAGTAACTTGATTTTATTGATATTTATAGAACACTCCAACCAAAAACAGCAAAATAAACATTCTTTTCAAAGTATGTTTTATGACAACAATTGAAGAATTAAACTAGAAATCGATAACATAGATGTCTGGAAAATCCCCCAAATATTTGGAAATTAACATACTATTAAGTAAGCCAAAATCACAAGGGAAATTATAAAATATTTCAACAGAATAAAAATGAAAACACAACATATATTTGTGGATAACATATCATATCAGCTAAAACAATGCTTAGAGAAAAATTTATAGCATTAAATGATTATATTAGAAAAGATGAAGGATTTCAATTGTGTAATCTAAGCTTCCATCTTAATAAAGTAT